CCCAGTACTATTTCTCCAGCAGTAATGAAGGATCAGTTGTGTCCTCTCATCCTCTCAATGTTTTCTATAGATTCCTCTTGATTCCAAAACGAACGAGATTGAGCAGAAGGTGGAGCCTCATAATGATTACTTCAGCACACAGTTCCTGCTCAACTTCTCCATCCTGGGCACACACATGGTCTCTGTTGAAGCCTCGGTTGTAGACACCAGTGGGATCGAATGGAAGACGGGACCAAAAATCACTGTATCAGTAAAGTCTCTGGAAGACCCTTATTCCCAGCAGCTGCGGCATCAGATACAGCAGCAGCAGCAGACCGGCCCACAGCCAGGACCCCAGAGGAACATCTTACCCCGCCAGTGACCTCCAACCCTCATCAACTGCCTACTGCCGGTATACTGCGGATTTATAGGACTTCTGGGCTTTTCTCTAATGTTTTGTATGAGTTGAAACACCTGTCTGGCTATTTTTGCTTATGTAATAATAAATAGGCTTACATTTTTCTTTTCTGCTGTTTACCAGAATAATTGTCCGTGTAAATGTTAAATAAAATTACTAAACTAAAATACAATTTGCATTTATTGTATTATGTGTCTCTTTACTCTGTTCACTCTGTTATGGTGGATCAGATCAATACTAAAGGAGGATTTCCTTCAGAAGCAAGTGTGATAGTTTTTTAAATTTTACTTTTTTAATCAATCAGATACAAATGAGTCTATTATATTTTGTGGTAGTTATATTAAACACTTATTTAGGGCTGGATTTTTTTAAATCTTGGGTTTTAATAAATTGTTCATTTTGGAGTTACGGGCGTAGTAAAATTGTTACAGAAATGCTAACGTCAATAAAATAAAAATAAATTAACAAAACGTTATATAAAATACTTTTACCTTTTGATCTCGATTACATTTCTAAACATTTTCAAACTTATAAATCCAAAACAAAACAAATATCTATTGACTTTTTCACCCTAACTTTCACAACTCTTGTGCAAAAATGTTTTAAAAATAAAATAATAATTGTCATGCTGGTAAAAAGAGTACTTATTACAGACATGTAATTTCATAATTCTATGGTCTCTGAAATATGGTTAAAATTTACTGCTCAATGTACTGACAAGCATTTGTAGTAAACTAAAATATAAATTATTGTATTTTTTATTGAATATTGCGTATTTTTATGAATAGCACTATTGTTCTTTGCATAGTGTATATAGGTTATATTTAAAGTGATAGTTTACCCACAAATACAAATATTGGGGTGAAAGATTACTTCAGTGATTTTTAGTTTAGCTAGCATAGCCTGTGATCATAGCCATCAGCCACAGCTAGTAATGCTAGGCCTAATGAACCAATAAGAGAACGGAATGAGGAAAAAATTAGCTTTACACTCCAACACACATACTATTTTGAACTGCTTATTCGGGCTACACTCGCAGCTCTCAATTACAGACATCCGTGCAGAAACACACACACAAAGTCGTTCACACACCAATACTAGCAATAATGAATTAGCAATGCAGTCGAGCACTCACTGCACACTTGCTAATCCAACTTTAACATTTACCAAAGTGTTAGAATGTGAATTCCTTTTTAAAGATGTTCAGATGTTCTTACTTTCGATTCAGTTTGCTTATTTTTGTAGCACTTTTCACAATGATTGTAAAATAAAGATAATATAATGGTATTTTGTAAGCCCATTCATTCCACTTACCACATATTTCCATTGAAGTACATGTTTGAATAAGACATTTTCAAGTTCATACACATTTTCAGTTTACCTTTTCAATTTATTTATTATTTACTATAATTTGTAATAGAAAATGTTACAATTACAAAAGAATGCAAAACAAAGAATACACTGCAAAATATTTTTATAAATTTTTATTTATTTTTTAGATTATTTCTTGAATATGAGTGCATGTATTCCATGTTCCTGCATTGGCTGATTTAATCTATTTATATTTAAAACAAGTGGAAAGAACTGGACCTGCAGAATTTAGAATTTTCACACATGATAGCATTATGATGTCATAATGATCTGAAAGCTGTAAAGTGCTGCTCTGACTGCTATCTAGAACATATCTTTTGTGGATATTTAACCCAAACACTAACTTTGCAGCTCGGAAGAGACACTTGGTAGACATTTCACAGGACATTCACAGCATTCTGCAGCATTCAGTGTTTTATAATGGCACTGTTTCGCAGTCTGTTTGAGTGGGTTCAATGTTTTGTTCACCGCATACCCAGAAGGAGAAAAAAACAGGGGGTGCAGAAGTGCACAGAAGCAGAATGGACCCCAATGGAAGGGATGAGTAGGCCCCTTGATGTTGGCAATACTGACCAGAAGTACCAGTCAAGATATTGCAAAGCATCGAAGTACCTAAATGACAAGGAAAAAAGAGAGGTGGGGAGGAAAAGAAAGTTAAAGAAGGAAAGAAAGATGGTGGACGAGAGAGAATCAGGCAGAAAAGAAGAGGAGACCAAAGACCCAACTCCATTACGAATTGAGGTCAAACCCCAACCAACTCCACCAGCCGCTGTGGTCAAACCCCCAGCTAGATCTTCCTTCATAAAGTCATCAGTGAATGAGCCACTGGTGGCTAAAAGGGCCTGTCGACACCTGCCTCCACTGGCCACCAAGACCAGACCTCCTTCATCAGGGGAAGAACCAATGCTGCTTCAAAAGGTATCACAACACCCTGCTTTACCAGCCACTGAGGTTAAACCCCTTCCTGGTTCTTCCTTCATAAAATCATCAGTGGAAGAACCTCCTTTATCAGAGGCAAATTTTGCTCCTAAAGCTACAGAGACCAAACCTCTGTGTGGCTCTTTTGTGGTGGACCCTGAGGTGGTTCAAAAGGCATCTCGCCAACTGGCTCAACCAGCCACAGAATCACTGGTGGTTCCAACTCCAAGACAAGTCATTTCCATGTGCAGTTCTACATCCTCTAAGTCTCCAGAGGGGGAACCACAGATGCTCCAAAGATCCTCTCGAAACCTGGTTCCACCAGCAATCAAGAACATGCCACTGCAATCAGTGGCTAAATCATTGATGCTTCAAAGAACCTCTAGACATTTTGCTCCAAAACCTACTGAGAGCAAACCTCTGCGTGGATCTTTTGTGCTAGAACCCAAGATGGTTCAAAGGGCATCTCGACATCTGGCTCCACCAGCTGAAGAACCATCAGTGGCAGAACCATTGGTCGTTCAGCATACGCCGACAAAATCTCTGTCACATTCAATGGAAGAACAATTGATGGAGCAAGTGATGCTTCCTTCAAGACAAATTCCTAAATGTGCTGAGGTGAAGCCAAAGCCAGCCACTTCATCTCTCATCCTAATGGACACTGAATCTGAAGAGGATGAGTCTGTGGAGCACACAGAGAGGACAATAGCATCCAGTGAGTCTGAGACTAATCACGAGCAAACGCTGGAGGCTGGGGTGAAGCAGAAACCAATATTTGAGAAGATCCATCCTATAGTTCTGGAACAGTCAAATGACTCTGAGAAAAATAAATGTGGAGACTCCAAAGCTGATGCTTTACGAAAGGCTAAGGAACTGGATGAACGAATGATGAGGCTGTTCTGCGTAGACTACAGCAATGCTCCCAAGAAGGAGAGCCAGCAGCATTTAAAACTTAAAAACCAGCAAGCGCTGGAAGCTGAGGTGAAGCAGAAAGCCGTGTTTGAGAAGGTCCATCCTATAGTTCTGCAACAGTCAGATGACTTCGGGAAAAAGAAATGTGCAGACTCCAAAGCTGATGCTTTACGAAAGGCTAAGGAACTGGATGAACGAATGATGAGGCTGTTCTGTGTAGACTACAGCCCTTGTCCTAAGAAAGAGAACCAACAACCTTCAAGAGAAGGTCAAGAGAAGCCTAAGAAGAGAGGAAAAACAAGAGCTGGTCCTTTCAGCTGGGCAGAGAAAAAGTTAAAAAGGATAAATGAAGAAAAAGAAGAGTCACACACTTTCTCTAATGCCTAAAGAATTAAGAAATATACAGTGTATGACAATTATCATAAAATGGATGTAATTGAATGAAAGATGATTGTAAATAAAGATTAAAGCAGATGTTGAATAAATGCTTTGAATTGCATGTCTATCACCATTGTGCACTTCAGGATAAAGTCTAATGTATTATTTAAACATATTAGATTGTACTAAATTAGGCCAAAAACAAACAATATATTATATTATATATAATTTATAGTGTTGTAAAATACACTGGTAATTTAAACTGAACAAAGATTAAATTAAATAAAAATATATTTAATTGAAAATAAATATTATATATTTTTAAAACATTACATTTAATTCACACAAGTATATTCTTTTAAATTAAATTAAAATTTAAAAAATGTTTTTCAAATGGTAGACAAAGGCGATAGAAAGATGTCTTTGATTAGCAAACATGCAGATTGGGTCAGTCGTGACATAAACAGATTCTATGTGAAATGCAATTTGACAAGACAAGAATGGTTACCATCTTCGTTCATTCAGAAACCATTGAGCTCTCACTGAGGTAGGTGTATTGTGAAATAAATGCTGCCATCTAGTGATGGATGTTGATGAGATAAAGGCCTGCATTGTGACTTCCGGTCAAATATTGCATTTCTAACAGAGAACACAAATATATTGCACTCAGTTAAATGGATGAACAAAGTCATGAGTGTTTTATACGGTACACACACACAATGCCTTGTGGAATTATTTATTGTACAGGGTTTGATAATATGCATTGTTTTGATATGCCATCATAACTGGCCCCTTTAAAAGTTCAAACATTGTACTTAATAGCGGAATGCATAAACGCAGTGAACAAACAGTATTGTTAACCCTTGCTCCCCTGATGTGATTTATAGAGCCGCAGCACGGTTGTACTGAATTCTGTATGGAATATTTCAGAGAGGTTTTGACCTGTCTGGATCACAGGCATGCCCTTGGGCTAGTAGCAGTTGCCTAAAGCACAATGTGGTAGATTTAAGCTCAGCTCTGTCGTTCCTCTAAACATGAGCGCAGAAAAAGCTATAAACAACCGCAAGCACACTTACAGGTAAACTGCTTCAGATGACATATTTCTGTTTAACTATAGATTATTCTGATCAACAACTTTGCCCAGCAACGCCACTTAGCACATTGGTTTATTCAAATAAAGTTCCAGTTGTTAACATTAGTTCATGCATTATAGGTATTATTATCCAGCAGCTAACAAAACCTTTTACTGCATTCATCAATGACAGTTAATATTACAGTACATTTCAGTGTTATGAACAGTATTATAAACAAACATGAATATATGAATAAATAGAAATAGCGCATTTTATCAGACAGAGATAATCACACCTGTTTAAAATGTTAGTTCATAAAAGATATTGTATATAGATAGAAAATTAAAACCAATTCCATTTGATACTGATAAAGAAGGTTTCTTATGATTATTATATTATGATTTCTCTTATATTTACTGAAGACATCAGCTCTAGAAGGCTAGGTTATTATATTACAGATGCTTCCTTTTTATTGTCAG